TTATATTTATATGTTTGCATCTCCCAGCGGTCGCTCTTTAGAACGCTGCCATTCAAAAACTATTCAAGATACCGATACTTCCCGATTTCACAGAATATTTATGGAAATGGAAGCTATGGAAAAAGTAAATAAAAAAACTTTTTTTTTTTTTCAAAGTGTCACTTTGGTATAGCCCCTTAAGTTTCATATCGTATTATCGGTTAGAAATGTTTATAACTGAAAAAAGGCAAGTACCCATTTGACATTTTAATTCTACTGTACTTACATAGGCTATTATGTATCAACAAAATTTATAATTCGAAAAAGTTAAATACCTTTGGAACATTTTTTCAAGATTTTATAGTACTTGCATATGTTTATGCAAATGATACGACCACAACTCTCATATTAAACTTCTTCTATCCAATTTTTTTAGTGATAATGTCGGTGTATATATTGTATCTTATGGTAATATTTATCGAACTGTTTTTACTCAAACAAACAGTTAAATGTGAGTATATTTTAATAAAATTCGAATATAGCAATCATTCGATTTTTCTTTTCATAGTGTTGCAATCGAAACTTAAGGACAGAAAATACGCCACAGGTAGGTAATATTTCCTTGACAATGTTGTGGTAAATATCGAATTTACATAATGAATTTTTCCGTTTGTAAACATGCTTACACTTGTATATGGAAACAAAAGTAAACTTTGACAAGCAAGTTGCTTATGAGAAGATTATATAATTCTTTATAGATTGTCAGATATACACTACAATGATTCTAGAATCATAAACCATAAAAAAACAGTAAAAATTGGATTTGATCTCTCCAAGTTTCAAGATTATAAAATGTTCGGTTACAACCGCACTTATCACTTATGTTTGTATTATGATCAAATAAATTATTATATCCGCACACATAAGAAATAAAAAAAAAAATTGCAGATCTTTTATATAAAACTCAGTTTTTGTCGCCTAGATTGTTTTGACGGTTATGACGAAAATGACTTTTTTTTTTAACAAATGTGACTTACTTATATTAGCGGCAAATCTTGCTAAATTGCAACAATTACGAGCAGAGGCCGGCATAGAAATTATCGATCGTACCTCACGATTATCAATAGATGTAAATAGAACACGAACAATGTCTTTTGATGCAATTTTGAATAAACCCAATAAGGATCTTATGAAACAATTTTTTGAGTCTCTTAACCCTATACAAAAAGAAGAATGGTTGGAGAGTGGGGTTGTAGGAAAGCTTTATATTGCCATTACGGTACCTGTGCTTTTTGTTCTACAAGTATTTATACCTGTTGTAGACTATGAGAAGGAACGTCATGGATGGTCAAAACTATTGAATTCAATCCAAATTCCTTGGGTACCAATGATACTAATATATACATTATGTAAGTACTGAATTTAACTCTCACTTAAAATATTCTATACATTCAGTTAGCTAACCTTTGTTTTATCCACAGCTGATAATTTGTTTATATTAGGTATACCGTTGTATTGCTATACATTATTGATTACAGTCCCCATCACTATCTATATGCTTTATACAACGCGAACAGACATTCCGCCTAATTATCACCATGTTAGTTTCCTAATTTGTTTGTATATACATTAAAAAAAAAAACTTTTCCGCTATAGATCACAGCGTTATATGGTGTAATTTCTTCAGTTTTAATAATTTACTATTCCGCAAGTGAATCAGTTGAAATATTACGAGTCATTGGGATTGTGACCAATAGAAGTAACTCATTTCTCGGATGCACTTTACAAGCTTGGGGCAACAGCATCGGTGATTTGGTATCAACTATAGCTTTGGCACGCCATGGGTATCCGAAAATGGGCTATGCTGCTTGCTTCGGTGGTCCATTTTTCAGTAATAAAACTAATGACCTCAGTTTTTCATTTCTTACTAATTTCTTTTTTCAGATTCAATTTCTTCATTTGGTGGGGTTTTCATATATGAAACATTTCGCTCTGAAACCCCTATTTTTGTAAGTATATACATTCTACTTCTGTACATTTCATATTAATAAATAAATCATTTAAGGTCCCTCAAGGTAGTTTGGGCGAAAATTGTGTCGTTTTTCAATTTATAGCAACTATGTCAGTGTTAATATGGGCTACGTTAACAAATTTCTCAGCTCGACGAAGCATTGGCATTTTTAACTTCATTCTATATGCAATATTTCTAGTTTTCGTTTTTTTGGGAGAATTGGAAATAATAGAAACTTTTGCGCCTGAAAATGAAGAAGAAATAATAGATGAGTGATGATGTTGGCAATATTTTGTATTATAAATGCAAATTAAATTATATTTGTTAACTAAATTCATAAACATGTATAGTATATACTTGTATTTTACAAATAATAAAAACCCTAATTATGAATCAAAAGTTTATCAAAGATACTATATTCGTCATGATTTGTTTCGATATCTTTCTAAATGCGTAAATTATACAGTTCAAATGAATTGAAAACAAAAGTCCTTATGGATATTTTTATTATATACTGTAATTAATCCTTTTCTCATGGTAGATACGGGACCAATATCAAAAAATCCAAATTTTTATTGGTCTATTATTTAACCAATTTATTATTGTCGGCATATGAATCCAAGGGATTGTTCGGAAGGATTAATTTTGATAATATTTGTCAATGGAAAAAATAAAACAAATTCCATTTAGTGTTTTACTTAAAATATTATAATAACACTTATTATTATTATTAAATTTAAATCTCATTTTGGAAATTTCCGAACGTAGTTTGGTTTATCTGAAAGGTTTTTATTAAAGTTATGACTGTTCCAGAACATTTAAAATAATGATTTAAAAGTAAACGAGAGCAAATCTTAATAAATCATTGATAGTGTAATAAATTATGAGCACAAATGTATTCAAAACCGATCTTATATCTATCTGTCAACTTTAAAATTTATTTAATATTGTCAGTAGGACTTATTAACAGATCTTTTTAGTTCTTTGTTTACTGCAATGGTTGATTTTGGAACATTCGCACTAGACAAATATTGTAAGTGGTTTTTAAGTGCAATGGTTCAAAAGCCGATTTCAGCAGGTTCTAAGGCAATATTCATTCATATTTTAGAACATTGCGGATTGATACTTTTAAAATTGGTACGAATTATTCCTAAAATTGAATTGTACTATTTTTATACTGCTGCTGTAAAGTGTAATAGTTTATCACCTAAACCTAATCGAGAAAGATATAGGGTTATGTGTATACTGTCTGCCTGTCCATTCGTTCGCTCGTGCAAGCTGTAACTTGAGTAAAAACTAAGACATCTTGGTGAAACTTAGTAGACATAGGCTTTGGCCATAAGAAGTTTGGTATTGTAGATGGGTGAAATTGGACAACTGCCATGCCCACAAAACACTATTAACGTATAAAGTGTCGAAACTAAGCCGTAAATAAAGATAAAGAACATAAATTTAACACAACGAATTACAATTGTGGGCATGGCCCAGCCGCTAATAAGATTAATGTACATATCTTGCAAGCCATTAAATCTATATCACCCAAATTCACGCAGGACAAATATATTTAAGCACTCTTATGACAATGTGAAATAGGGGAAATCGGATGATAATCCTGTCCACTCCCCATATAAAGGTTTTTTAAAAACTGCTGAAAGCCTACATGTTCAGTACCTAGGGGCTTGAACCGTTTCGGTTCAATTTAGAAAATTTTATTTTTCATGCAAATTTGTATCCTGTTTTGTTAATCGGTGCTTTATTTATATATCGAATATGAAAGAATCAGATGGAATTTCAATTTATGTTCCCATATAACATAAAAAAAAATTTTTCTAAATTGAACCGAAACGGTTCACGCCCCTAGGTACTGAACTTGTCGGCCCCAATGACTAGTAGACATTTTATCAAAAATATCGGTCAATGTGTAAGATATATAATTGAAATTTGGTGAGAATCCTTTCCTGAGTGTAGTATGTACGGATGTAAAAAATTGGTTCAATCAAAATTTTGTATAGTATTAAAAAAATTAGAATTATAGATATGTAACATAGTTTTTACTCAGTTTCGTCAAAGCTTGTGAAATAATATCTTGATCTACTAGTGTATATAATATTTCATGCTAAATCTGCAATGAGTTCAGGGACATAGTGATATTCCAATTTTAAAGTCAGTTTTACGTACATAGTTATCAAAATCACAAGTCTTCCGATTTTTTAACAAGGTTTTTTATTTTTATTATCTAAAAATTATTCATTTATTATTATTTTACGAGCTTTCTGCTTATACTTTCAAAGCACTGACAACAGAAATATGGAAATAAGGCGTTCGAATTTCTCGAAATAAGTTTAATAGATATGCTATAACAATGCAACTTTAACTTTAAATCTTTAATATTTTGTCTGTGGTGAAAATAGTCCTATGTATGTATGCATATGGACCGTCAAAAAAGTACTTTATGTACAAATTGTTTTCAATTGATCTTTTTTTATTGAAAAATACAAGCGGGCAATATACCATAAATAATGTAACCTATGCTCTAGGCATATACATTATATTATAGAGCATATTTCATTTTATATAGCACCTATTATTAAATACGATTAAAGTGTGCCCTGTCTTTAGTGGATTCAATTGTTTCATTTTATAATATATTGACAAAATGCATTAAAGAAATTCAATACTTGTTAAGGAAAATTTGTCATGATCTTATTTGATAGGAAAAAGCAAAATTTTCGCTCGCCACTGCAAATGAATCCTTGAATTATTTTTTTTCATATATTCTAACATTTTAGAGGCTTTTGGTTATTAATAAAATGTAATTTTTTAATATTTATGTGAAATAAGAAGCATATTCGCTTACTCAGCCATATATATACACTTTCATATAACTAAATAAAAATATATGATATGCCGAAACCGTTCCTAAACAACCAAATTTTATTTACTTACAGTAATAACAACGATAAGAATCGTTCATTTTCTGATTCGTATTTAACAGGTAGTAAAATAAAAATCTGTTTATTTTTATAAAGAATACAACAGTACAGAGCTTTTATTAATAGATCCATATAGATTTTCCAGTCGGTTTGGCATCAAATATCTACATGAKTATATTTCCWTAGACGWKATAAATCAGATCTTTCAGAAGAAAGAAGTGTCCCCCAGGTAAATACAATTTACTGAAGATGTATGTAATAAAAAGAGTTTTATAAAATAAGTATATTCTATTTTCAGGTAGAAACAGAGTAAAATCTGTCGCATAATTTTAAATCTATTTAAAACAATACTACAATATTTACTTAACTATATACACATTGATATCAATACTCTCCTCTTACAGGTTTTCACACCAAAAGCATTATACACCCTCAAACAATTGATGAATCAGGGGTTCCATTTAACTCCCTTGAATCCGAATACAGTTGTCAATTTAAAAAGAGATATTTTAATTTGAAGCCGAGTATTTTAAGACAATCTACATCTTTACATTTAGAAGGATTGATGCAAAAGAAATCTGAACATCAAGAGCAATTTCAACCATATACATTTGAGGACTATAAACTGTGAGTAGAAATGAAAAAAGTATCAGTCTTGAAACAGTAGTGATTAACTTTTTATTTTGTCATCAATTCAAAAAATTCAAATTTGCATGAGAGAATGTATGTACGTACACATAGGGATGGTGTATAATTATATTAACATTTAAAGAGGCTACCAACAGTCGCAGACACACAAAAGGACGTGTTTATTTCTTTTAGCACATTCAAATTTTTTTTTAATAAACAGGGTTGAGTTTACGCTGTTCAAGATACTATATGAGATATCTGTGAGCTTACGCTTATTGCTACTGCAATATTCCTTTATGAATTTAATGTGTAAAAGATAATTTACGTATTTCTCTTATTTTATCATTTATTTTTAAGGTCCCGTGGCAGTCTTATTAAGAAGCCAGAAAATTTATGTATGAGCGGTATTATCAACATGGAACCAGAATATCGTTCATCTTATATTTCTTTTCCAATGGTTAACCGCACCTCAAAAATTTTACCTCGAGAAGCGTTTCGTCTCTTTTCTGACAATACGAATAAGAACCCTCACTCAGAAGAGGGAAAGAATACTATAAGTAAGAAGCTTATAGCTGATAAAATTACTAGTGAAAACAGCGTACAACAAATTTGTGTTGAAACGAAATATAACACAGCCCCATCTGAATATAAGCAACAGTTCATACGATTTCCAATTGAAAAGGCGTGCTCAATTCCACAAATAAGTCACCTGAAAATACAAGGTGAATTTGGTGGCGTGCCCGAATATAAAGACAGTTTTAAGGCCTACGAAACGAACTTAAAGAGCGCACCCATTAAAAAAGGCGATAATTTGCGAATGCCTGGTGCTCAAGAAATTGATGTCGAAACAAATGCGATTTTAAAATTTACAGAGCATCGCGCGAAATTAAAAGATCCCATCGAATTTGCATCAAACAAAAAATTACTTAAAGTCAATAATCATATAAATCTGTGTGGTCAATTCTCAAAAGATATACCAGAATATTATGAAAGCTTCCGCGATCCTCAAATCAAACATATGCCTGAGCGTAGCAAATGTCGTGAACCATTATTACGCCTTAAAGGTAAAATTGAATTTAATCCTGAATATAGAAACACTTTTTTGGATTTTCCTCGTTCACGCCCCGTTATTCGAAAACCACCTTCCACTTTACGCTTGTCAAACGCATCAAATACATCAAAAGGGGCAATTACGAAAAATATCAAACAGTCACTACGTCCAAAATTGGAGTCATGTTCAACAAATGTACATCCACAGCATGAAAAACAGCCCTCAGATATCATCATAACACCAGAATATCGTCATGCCAATTATCAGTATCAGATGCGTGAACGGACGCCAGTTAGGAATCGAAACGAGAAAAAAGGTGGCGATTTTGAAGTGGGTCGTGAATCTAAAACCAAATATGTATCGATTGTGACAGATCGAAAAAACTCTTTTCTTTCGACGAAAATGGCTGGTAAGCAGAAGCGACGTATTTTGTCTAATCGTTTAAAACCCACTGAGTATCAACAAGGAACAGGGTTGGAAAAAGAGGTCCCTTGTGTAACGAAAAATACCCCAAAATATGGTAGACGTGCTTCCGTACTTCCTAATTCATCGATACTCGAGTCCTCTGTTTCTGATCAGGCAACTAGCGACACCCCCTTTGTGGTGTTGAATGGACCTTATAAGCAGTCTCCCTGGACGAAAAAATCGTGGTATGAATCATAAACATTGTTCAATAACAACAACTTTTATGAAATGTGTGTAATTTTTTTGTTTTCATAAAACTACAAAGTTCTTTGTTATGGAGAAAAGATTCAATTAAACAATTTATGGATTCAAAAAAAATCTGTATATATTATTATTGTGCACACACATAATATGAAGGAGTAAGAGATATCGGTTGCTTATGCTTCCGTTTTGGCAGTCACGTTTCAATAATGCATTTAATATTTGTAACAATTATTATTTCCTCTCTGGTCATACCTAATTTTAGGATTTACATATATGTGTAGCGAAGAGGTTCATGTTATTATGAAATTATTTAGTAATTATTAATTCCAAAAAAGCAACACCTATGTATATTTATATGTACAGCTGCGAACAAGAAAATAGCAGTAACTATGGCAGTTTTGTATATGTAAATATATTTAGCAACTTTAAAAATATAAGTGTTTACTTTAAAATGTTCTGATAAATCAGTAAAACTTATCTAAACATCAAAATATTAATAAAACATGGAAAATAAAGGCAAACTTCAGCTGCAAGCACATATTTCAAAGAAAAATTCAAAAGGTGGTGTTTCAGAAATTACAATATTTCACTTTTAAAGCAAAAATTCGAATATATCGTATTTCAACAAATAAAGTAAGAGTGAGTAAAATATTTTGTATTTGTGGTATTACTAGGATAAAATTTAAAACACATTTTGTTATATTGGACTTTAGTAGGTTGCGGTATAACCTGTATCAATGATAAAAAATTATTTAATTCTAAAATCCTCCATTTTTCGGGGAAATTATTTTAAAATTTATTTAAAAAGGATAATTTTACAACTATATTCAAAAGCCTCTTCGAAGAAAACCAGGAAATACGGTGCTGAAAAAGAAAAACAATCGCCAAGTCGCACCCTTTTAAATCGGCTAGGCAGATAGAAGCTAAACTAAATCAAGCCCACTTAATATTCTTTATAAATTAAATTATACTCCCATGATCTGATTCGGTATTCGGTGACTGTTAGATTTTTCTACCGCTCTTTTGGTTTTATTTACAGTTTTAATATTTAGTAACATATAAAGAGCATTTCCTAATTTTTTCAAGATTCAGAGTCGTTAAATAAATAATGTTCTTCAATGTTATTAGGGACAACCCACATACATATGTTTATGTTTACTCGTGATTTCCATAGCTATGGTTCATATTATATGTAACATATAATCAAATTTATTTCATACTAGCTTTTTACCCGCGGCTTCACCCGCAGTGGAGCCATTAAATATGTATGAGAGATAAAGGATAAGGGTATAATAATAGAAATGAGTCAAAATGATAACTAAATTTTATTGCTTGGCTGAGATCAACAATTTTTAAAAATTATTACAGACAATGAAGTTTCAACACCTTAAAATATGCGTATTGAAATGCAACAACAAATGTTAAAATATATTTCACCGTAACAAAAATAAATAATTCTGAATTCTAACAATTTTAAAAAATAAAATACAAAGTATTAATCTAGGATATTTTTGTAATACGAATAAAAGTCCATGCAGGAAACTTTATTTTGAATTTGTTGTCCCGTTGTTGGATTAATGACCGTAGTACTATGTCTCGTGGAGAGCTCGGGTCACCAGTAACCAAAACTGCAACTTCATTGATCATCGGCGCATTATAACGCCTTTCGTGTTCGCCTCGTGGAGTTCGATCAGCATGAATGATAACTTTATAGTTGTCTGAAGGCCAGTTGTCTATCGCACTTTTAAAGATTTTTACCAAGACATTGTGACTGTGTAATATTCGTTGAATTTTCAATACCGTTTCTCTTTCTACTCGTTCAATATATTGACACGATGATTTATTTCCATTTTGTTCATTACCTATAAAGTAGAAATGCAGAATTAATGCTGCAGAAATTTATGCTGATCATCATCTTCTGGAAATAGTGATCCAATTTGATGATATACATATCTGTCCTTGTACAGCAAAAGTTGGTGAAAACCCGGGCATTCTTATCACTTTATCAACGTCAAAGGATGTCATTTGAAAGCAAGAGTTATACTTTCTTATTTTGCTTATAAATTGCTTTGACTCATCAGTATCATTTAATAATAATGTTTTCACAGGCTCTTTTGGTTCACCAAGTAATGGAAGTGAAACTTTACCACCGGAACAGCACATTCCAGCAGTTGCCTCTTTCAATTTAAAAGCATCGCAGAACTGACATTTTTTATTCATTGAGCCAATAACAATCAAGGGATGATTATGATATTCAATTGAAGGATCATATTGAAACCCAGTACCATTAAATACAGCCCAATCATTACGCATGAAATTTCGGCGGCGCGTGGTCTGCATTATGAATTCTTCTCACCTGCGATTGTTCTGGTGTTTCTATAGCTCTTCTGATGCCTGAAGAGGCGTTTTAGCTGCTCTCAAAACTCTTTGTCGCTCTGCTTGTTGTTGTCTTTTCAGTTCTGTGTGAGCCGAAGTTTCTTGATTTCGTGCAATTTTTGCGGCACCGACACGCGATGAAATTTTGGATATACCAGACTTCCGCTTCCGACGCATTTTCTAAGAAAATCATTTTAATACTTAACATCAGCGAGTAAGATCTAAAATAATAAATTGACTGCTAACCACAAAAATTACTGATTACCGCAAAAATTTTAATAGTTTTATACTGCATGTAACGACAGAAGAAAATAACAATAAATATCGAAAAATTATAAACAGTTGAAACTCTGTATATTCAATTGAATTATATATTGTCGTCACTGCCGGTAATACAGTAGGACGGTATTACAGTATTCATTGTTGAAACTTAATTTTTGCATATTAGTATGAATATGATTTGGATATACCATATTTCCGCTTCCGCTGCATTTTCTTAAAAAAACAGAGTAAGAATTAACATCAGCGACWWARATCTAAAATAATAAAGTGACAGACAACTACAAAAATTACTGATTACTTCAAAAATTTGAATTTTATACTGCATGTAACGACGGAAGAAAATAACAGTAAATATAAAAAAATTAGAAGCAGTTAAAACTATGTATATTCAATTTAATTAGATATTGTCGTCACCGCCGGTAATGCAGTGGGACGGTATTACAGTATTCTTGTTTGAAACTTCATTACTGTAGTGCTATATGACGTTGAAGTAAGTAAATTTTACGATTTTTTTACAAACAATTTTTTTTATCTTTCTAAAATTTTTTTTTAATATAAAGTACCCTATTTTACTTCTAATACCTTCAGGAGTATATGTACAAAGATTTATGATGATCTCTTAAGTAGTTGCGTGAAAGCTTAACAAACAAACTTACATTCTCATTTATAATATTAGTATGATGATTATGCATTTCATCTTACTAAAGATCTAAAGTCCACCCCTAAAACACCCACCTCTTAAACTAATTAACACTAAATGGTGAACCCCCCTAACCGCACTGATTTTGAGTTTTTGCACTTATTTTCTGAATTTTTACAGCCATTTATTGCATTCTCAACCATTTTTTTAGCAACCAACTATATTAACTATTTCCCTTCACTTTTATATTGTATACTCCACATTTTTATCAATTATCGGCATTCAGGCCCACAGTGCTTGGTTTTCCCATTTTTATTCTCTTGTCACATGTCGCTACAGAGTATAATATATTCAAATAAGGCACCAATTAATATAATGGATAAATCTTCCCATGATTAGTGCTTTTGAAGTGAGCCCTCTTATGGCGAAATATGGTGTCTCGGTGTTTTCATCTGATGTCGATACACCCTTCTTGAATTGAATTATGATATGTACGCTGTATTTATATCTTAGCAACACAATTATTTTCTTTTCTGTCATGATTTTATTTGCTCATATTTATGTATATATTTTTCTCGAAACAATTTATGCATCTAGACGTTTATTGGTGCTCTTATTTATCGTTGGAATAAAGGGATAAAGGGTCCGTAAAATGTGTTCGAAGGATCAATACAGTGAGATGAAAGATAAATTTAAACCACCCAAATTGAAACAGCCAACAAGCAAGTTAAAAGGAAGGAACTATTCTCAAATTATAGTTAACTTATTTTTCACTATTGTTTTCAGCTACACGAGCTCGTTGCTATGAGCAATTCCTTTGGCAAGAGCTTTACAACGAATATATTCGCTACAATGACCGTTTAGTTAATGTAAAGCCGGACAAAGCAAATACAGAATATTTTGATGAATATTGTAAAAAGGTTCCAAAGGAAGATATGGCTAAAAAGGAGCGTTTGATTAATGTTTACCCGTTGTACAGCACTAGCGCGATAACGTTGTGGAATAACAATGGTGATATAACAAGAGATTTTAAAAAGCGTTACATTATAACACGCCCGGTGCAAGAACAAGCTGAACAATTCGGATAATGTGAGCATCTAGATTCAAATAATATGTTAGTATATGTATATATATACTAACGCTTATATGGTTCATATATGCACAAATTGTCTTTTCCAATCTCAAAATTTAAAACTAGAAAATTGTACAGCTAAATTATAATTTTTACCTTAACTGAATCAATGAGACTCGTTATATATGATATGTATGTATGTATGTATGTATGAATATAATTTTATGGTAACACCAACTACTAATTTAAACAAACCCCAAATTATTTCTACTTAAAGAATTGAAGAAGTATACATACCATTTATATGTTCATGTGAAATCTGGTCTCTATCAAGAACGATAAAAGACATCTATTACAAATCTACTATCCATTATCTAGAAGCTGAAGAAATTGTAATTTTTCTGAAAAATATCTTGCCGCCTGATATTTAATGTTTTTTCAAATGGATATATATTTTAAGGTGTATATAGAAATATATATTTTAAGGTGTTGAAACTTCATTGTCTGTAGTAATTTTTAAAAATTGTTGATCTCAGCCAACAAAAAAAAATTAGTTATAATTTTGACTCATTTCTATTATTATACCCTTACCCTTTATACCTCATACATATTTAAGAATCTGCCTTTATGCCGCGTTGTCTGAATTTGGTATCCCTGCAAAACTTATACGGCTGTGTAAGCTGACGTTGAACAGCACCAAAAGCTCCGTCACAGTCGGGAAGGACATCTCCGAGCCGTTCAATACCAAACGATTTTTCAGACAAAGCGTTTCCTTATCGTGCGACTTTTTCAAAATGCTTCTGGAGTAAATAGTTGCCGATGTAATTGATATCATCAAACCTTTCATCAAACAAACAGTCGTCGCACTCGCGACTTGGCACTCACATCACTGTTGACAGTCATAGCTTTGAAGTTGATAATTTGGTTTATCTTGGAACCAGCGTAAACACCACAAACAATGTCAGCCTAGAAATCCAACACAGGATAACTCTTGCCAACAGGTGCTACTTCGGACTGAGTAGGCAATTGAGAAGCAAAGTCCTCTCTCGACAAACAAAAATCAAACTCTATAAGTCACT